TACAGTTGTAGTATGTTATCTGGAAGGAAGCCATCATGCCACGAGACAATTTGCTTCTTTCAGATGAGGAGGCATTATGTATATACTCTGACTATGTGGTCGCTCAATTATGAGGACTTCTGTGGCTTTCATGATCAGCAATTGGATGCCTCAATCATCAACGGAATGGAGATCTGCATTCCCTTGAGTGTATTCATTAACAGTGTTCAAAAACAAGGTGGAAAGTCATAGGGTCTGCAGCAGTAGGAACTAAAATTATTTGCTCTCGTCCTTATTATGATATCATTTTGCAAAACCCTTTTGATACCTAAACTATTGGATAGTTTGGCAAGGACTAAACGACTGGTGTCAATTTCTAACGCTGGAATCTGTGTCTTATCTTTGATCTTAAAACTTCAGAATTAGGGGTTGTCTATTTCAATACTGTAGCATTAAACCCAGGACCCCCTTCAACTAATGGCTGATGTAAGGCACTGGAGGCCCAGGCAATGTTAGAAATTGGCACTAGTCCTGTAGTCCTTGCCAAACTACCCAATAGTTAAGGTATCATAAGGACTAGTAGAAATTTGCCAGTTAAAGGGTTTCGCTATATGTTATCATTATAAGGACAGGTGGACTATAAGTGTTAGTTGCAACACCCTGTTCAGATTTGTGCCATCGGGAGTGTTGGGCAGTTCACATCAGGGTTGGGACGAGTCCAAATTTACTACCCGGGTATCTGCTCTATGATCTGCCCCTACCAGCATGCTCGCTTAAATTCCTAAGAACTATTTAAATGGCGATCACGTTCAGTTATAATGAAGCTGACATGCCAGGATATTACTGAAGCCATGTTCAAGCTGTGTTGACCCATCCTGATGGTGCATGAGTGAGTGAGTGAGTATGGTTTTACACCGCTTTTAGCAATATTCCAGCAATATCACGGCGGGGGGAAACCAGAAAATGGGCTTCACACATTGTACCCATGTCGGGAATCGAACCCGGGTCTTCGGCGTGACGAGCAAACGCTTTAACCACTAGGCTACCCGACCGCCCCCTGATGGTGCATGATGAGAGACATGGATACAAATCATTTTATACTCGTATTGAGTTCTGGGGATACTGTAAATTGTGAACAACAGCAGATGAAATGTATTTACTTATTGGCTATGTAGATAAGCAGGTTGAGTCAAGACACTTGGCATTACTCCTAATGTACTGGCCTATATACCATGGTGCTGATCCATTTCACTTAGTTGTAAGACCCGTGAAGATCCCGGGGTAGAATAGGTCTTCAGCAACCCATGATTGCCGTAAAAGGCAACTATGCTTGTCGTAAAAGGCAACTAACAGGATCGGGTGGTCAGGCTCGCTGACTTGGTTGATGCATGTCATTGTATCCCAATTGGGTGGATCAATGCTCATGGTGTCAATCACTGGATTGCCTGGTCCAGACTTAATTATTTACAGACCGCCTGCATATAGCTGGAATATTGCTGAGTGCGGCGTTCAACAACAAATAAACAAACAGTTCCTGTAATTGTAATGCACACAGTCTAAGACACTGATCATAATAAACCAATCTTCATAATCATAATCATATTTAACTTACTTTAGCCTCTTGAGTTGCAGTCAGTCAGGTCTCATTGAACAAGCCAGATGTTTTTTGTCCTTATTGCACCAATCAAATCGCATTTACCATATCGTAAAAGGCGGATCAATTAAGACATTACTGTAAGCAAGTCATATTCTGTGACATTTTATGAAATCGTAATTACTGTTGCTGCGTAATTACATGTGTAAAATGCTACCATGGTATTTAGCCACCATGTTTGTTGCAATTTCCTCATTGCCCTACTGATCATTGTTTAATAACACATTACAAAAAGTGTCTTTGCTGAGTGACGTTTGAATCCATCCAAATTGCTGATTTACAAAAAAGGAGGAAGAATATCCATCAGTAAAAAGATCATATGTTTATATATCCTATAGACTAACATCTAATCTCTGAAATAAACATATTTTGCAGAAAAATAACAGTTGTTAAATTATCTTAATAAATATAATGAAAAGGAGCCTAGAAAATCTCTTCATTTTTTAACTTGCCAACAACTAGAGACTTGCATAGACTGTATTGGATTACGGTACTTGTTTTTAGGGTCTGTATGACAGCCTAATGTATCCTACCTTGGCAATAAGTGGATCAGGCAGTCAGGAATTTACCTGGGTCTTTCTACTTGTGAGCCCTGCAGAGTCTTAGAGTCTCAGTAATGATTTTCGGGGATCCCTGGCATGACAATTGTGGGGACACGGTCTGGACACAACTATGATGTAAAATATTTCTGAATGATGATGATGATGATGATGATGTTGGAGATTTAACGAGTGCTTCCGGTGTTGCCGATTTCGCACTCAGATTTCTGAAGCGTTATGCTGAACAACAACTTCGACATATTTGTTGTTTATTATTGACAAATGTTTTTTTTACTTGGTTTTGTATTCTTGCCAATGTCTTTTGTAATCAGTTTTTTATTATTGACAAATGTTTTTAACGAGAGGACTACATGAAATACTAAGACAAATTAGTGCCTATGCTTAATTGTTTCGTATATACCTGTATATGTGTACCGTTAAGATGAAAGGGAAGGGGCCCTGTCATTTTCCTGTTGTTATATGTTCAAAATTTAGGGGATCCTTAGATTTAAATCCCATAGAAGCAAGTCTCAAGGAACACCAACCCTCTTAATTAAAACACTGGGTGTTGCTATGTTTGTGTTGGAGCATGTGAGGGAGAGTGGTGTGAAAGATGGAGACAAGCCACAATTGAGGCTCTCTCACACCTGACTGTGAATACACATTATCATGGATCATTATCATCTGTTGTGACTACCCGGTATCTGTGCCGTACATATGTCGGATGGTAATGTGATGGAAACCCATCTAATGTTGTGTCATGACATTGGAATCTTGATGAAATATTACTTATGTACTGGAAACATAATGTGATGACATGATTGTGTACTGCTCAATGGTTAGTGTGATCACATCAGTTACAGTAGTACAGGTCTGTTGTCCTCGGGATCTTCATGAAATATGTACAAAAGCTTGCTGACGCATAGTTTCAGTATTGTGGTAATACTAATGGTTTAGGTAACCAAGTACATATGAAAACAATACCTTCGTGCAAAAATAAATGATACAGTGGGATGTTCATGTTCATGTTTTTATGACACATGCCTATGATATAGTCGGAATGGTGCAATGGGCTCTGCTTTTAGTGGAGATTTCTTATGATTACAGAAATGTTTAAGTAGCTTATATTTAAATGTTTGTTGCTGTGGGGATAAACAGGCACTGCATGATCTTGCTAGAACGTTATTCTGTATCATTACATATATGAAAAATATCTTCAGGTCGTTTTAGATGACAATCAGTCATTGTGCTAGAAAATGAACCAGTCTGAAACCCTGCAGATGTAAAAGTTAATATATTGATTAAATATGCATTGTGAGCAGACAGGATGAAAGATGAATAACATTCACGTTTCCGTCTTATTAAGTGAGTGACCCACTCGTGCCTCATCCATTTGCTTTCATCAATAAAAGATGTTCAAGTCAATGTAGCTAACTTTCGATATGAATCCATATTGTCAAATGTGAAGGTTAGTGCAAAAGATTATGCAAAATTTAAACAAAGATTAAAAGTCCCATCATTCCTAAAATAATGTTTTCTCTAAAAGTCAGTAATTCCAGATTTGCATTGCATCTCTCAAAGATTTTCCAATTGCTCTTCTGATATAGCCATTATCAAAGATGCCTATTTTGAAAGGTACAACTGCATACGAAGGGAAGTAACTCTGTTCAACTTGTTGCCTGTTTCACCTGTCAGGTGCGTGATGGAGTTGAGTACAGGGATACCGACATGAACTCCACACACTCAGGCAGTAGAGAGGCAGTGGGGCAGAGCTGGCAGAAATAGGCCTGGAAATGTTTTTACAGACTCCGAGTAGTGTCTTAATGCTTGGGGCAGCCAAAAAATATCTTCAACACATGCTTGAAAGTAATCTTTGGAACCATTACTTGAAGAAATCCAGTTATCGCTAGTTTGCTTCATTTACCGTTGTTAAATAGGAAATTAGTTTTTAGTATTTTTATGTTTGCAGACAGAATTAGGAGTCAATACCTTTTGATAAGGGATGAGAGAAAAACAGTTGAGCATTATTGTGATGAACCTTTGTGGCTTTTTTTCTGTTTTGTTAGAAATAGTCCCTCTTTAGCATGTTTATTGGTCTGTTGACAGACACCTGTGTTATTGTATTTTATGCTGAAAAAGCATTTTGTTAACAAGGTTAAAGTTTTGTCGAAAATGTGACTTATCCAAGTGACTAAAGTTTTTAGCTAGTTTTGGTAAAAAGAAGGGCTCAATTATCACATGAATACAATATGTAAAGAATTTTTTATAAAAAATAAATTGCAAGTGTTTCCATGGCATTTGATTGGCTGATGTTGATTGGTTTAAGTTTCCATAAACCAAAAAACAAACAAAACCAGATTACTGTATCCTGATTGCTGATAACAGAATCCTGAAAGGGGCGGGGTTTGTTTGGCATCATTGCCGTGAAAGATGCCGCTGATTACATACTGTTGTCTAAATATTTTATGGTGTTAATGATTAGATAAGCAGTCAGTGAAGTTATTTTTGTTGACATGTTTATTTGACTTCAAGATGTTTTTTCGTTCTAAACGTAAAATCGGTGTATACATTATTTAGATTTCAACAGTATGCACACTGGTTTGATGTTCATAAGTGCAATACATATTATAGTCAATTCTTAAATGTCCTCTCCAGTCACACTATCTGTGATATGATTGAGTTGGAAGGACAACAACAAAATGACTGTTTCCAAATTTGCAGAGGATTTTCATTGAACTTATCAACTCTGTGATAAAGCTACATACAAGATTAAACATGGGTATACATCACGTTATCACAAATGAAATTACCTTCTCATTTCTTTTTAGGAGAAGACATCAATTGAGGGATCACTGTTTGTCTACAAAAGGTAAGGATTTTTCCTTTATGTATGTTTTAATTTCATTGGAGAGGGACTGGACAAAGTCTTGTGACTAGGTCTTGGCATTGTAATGACTGTTTAGTAGGGGTGCAACGATACGGAAGGCCACACACATTGATACACTTGTCACGATACGATACACATCTCGATACACTGGGCATGATATAATACACATATCGATACACTGGTCACGATACGATACACAACTCTATACACTGGGCATGATATAATACACATATCGATACACTGGTCACGATACGATACACATCTCTATACACTGGGCATGATATAATACACATATCGATACACTGGTCACGATACGATACACATCTCTATACACTGGGCATGATATAATACACATATCGATACACTGGTCACGATACGATACACATCTCTATACACTGGGCACGATACGATACACATCTCTATACACTGGTCACGATACTACACATCTCTATACACTAGGCATGATATAATACACATATCGATACACTGGTCACGATACGATACACATCTCTATACACTGGGCACGATACGATACACATCTCTATACACTGGGCACGATACGATACACATCTCTATACACTGGGCACGATACGATACACATCTCTATACACTGGGCATGATATAATACACATATCAAAACACTGGTCACGATAAGATACACAACTCGATACAGTGGTCACGATACGATACACATATCGATACACTGGTCACGATACGATGCACAACTCGATACACTGGTCACATATTGATACACTGGTCATGATACGATACACATCTCGATACAGTGGTCACGATACACCAGGATAACAACACAAAGGCAATGGACTGAATTCGTCAATTTTAAATCTGCGTGTATAACAATCCATTGAAGCACCCTACATTTTAAGCCTTGTGATTGGCTGTTGAGTAAACATGAACACCATAAAGAGATATCAGCACATAAAGATGACAACTGCCAAAGTTTATGAACAGCACACAACTCATGTAGCACGATAGGGTTATTCTTTCGTTAAGTAAGTAACAAATACTTACTTCGTATCGTAATACATCGTGATACAGGTCTGGATCGTATTGAAGGCCACACAGTGCAGCACATCAGCCTCAGCGTACCGTTTCACCCTTACTGCCCAGTATGAAACATTGTCTCCCCCTCATCACTGTGATGGGGGCAAGCACAACCTGGGAGACATTTATGCATAATAATATATTAGACCTAAATATGTTGAATCATAATTGCAAGAACTGGCAATTTGTGTCTAGTTCCTCTTCAACACAATTTTGTTTATCCTGACAGTGTTTCTGTTTCTTTTAGACACTGTAAGTTGATTAGTTTTCTTATGATTCTTGGTAATTCTTTGAATAGTGTGACCTATTTGAAGAGTTGCTGAGCCACACAATGGTTAACCTGTGTTTATTTTGCATACAGTTTTTTTGCTTTCTTGCTTTGAATTTCAGTGGAAAATTTCTTCTACCTGACCTTACATCATCTAATGAAGAAATCATGAGAACCTGGTGATTTTACTTCCAGAATCAACAGATTCGCATGATTTTTCCCCCCAACGTAAATCATGTTGTGGTTGATATGTTTTATAGTTGCACGTTTGGAATGTCCAGTTAATTCCTGGCTCAGAATCAACTTCAACAAGTGTGACGCCATCATAATGGTTTCCCCCAGGTATAGGAACAGTTGCCCCTTTTGTTTTCAAATCATGCTGGAACTCTACTGGAGATGTTTTGGATACTTGTTTCTTGTGAGGCCATCAACAAAAGAAATGATCCCATGGGATCATTGGAAATGAACATGTACTGTCATACTCATTTGTATTGTTGATCAAATTAGCCTTAGCTAGTTCTTACAAAAGTGGTGATGAATTGGTGAATTGTTTGAATAAAGAACTTATTTACATATAACATGACACTTACCAAAGCAATATGAAGGACTTGTGTGTGTCTACTGATTACACCCAGAACTGATATCATTAATTACCCGGGCTAATTATGTAGTAACCAATTACAGCAGTATTATGTCAGTTGCCTCTTCAAGAAATCTTCTTAGTATAATCTATAATCAGATCCTTGAGTATTGTACACATGCTAAGTAGAATTTGGTCATCAGCTGTAATATACCACAGACTGTTGGCTTGTCTTGTCCTGCCTTACAGTGCAGTACTGCATGTGATGCAAGGTGTGGAATGAGTTTGTCTAACATTCTGGAAAGTCTGGATAACAACACTCTTATGTGTACTTACAAGTCCTAAATATATTTGACCCGTGAAGATCCGGAGTAGAATAGGTCTTCAGCAACCCATGCTTGCCGTAAAAGGCGACTGACAGGATCGGGTGGTCAGGCTCGCTGACTTGGTTGATGCATGTCATCATATCCCAATTGCATGGATAGATGCTCATGATGTAAATCACTGGATTGTCTGATCCAGACTCAATCATTAACAGACCGCCGACATATAAAACAAGCAACCAACCTAAATATATTGAGCACATACAAGTGCAGGTACATCGGTGTTTCATAAGAGAAGAGAAGAATGCCTTCTTTCAATGTAGCACTTTGCAAGGTTCATGAGAACAGTTGATCCCACAGGACATTGACAACTTTGACTTGATTTTGTACTAAACACCTTCTTTACAATGTCAGGAAAAAATAACTACAGTAAACTATGGTTATTACAAACTCAAAGGAACCATTAATTTTAGTTTGTTATAAGCGCAGTTCATTATAAGCATATATACAGCATACAGCACATGGCCGGGACCAACAAATAAGTCCATTATATCCGTCAGTTCGTTATAAGCGTGTGCATTATAAACATAGTTTACTGTATTTCCATTGTACATGGAAAGTCATGTTGCTGATGGTATGTTTGTTGGAGTAAGTTTTATGTCACTTTTATTACCGTATTCGATGTAATAAGTGCCCACGGCGATATTTGCTAATATATTGGCTAGTGAACAATACCAATTAGCACCCCTTCCGATTGAATAATGTACACAACACTTATTTATTTGCGTATAATACGTACGTGTGTTATATGTACCCTTAATTAAGTGCATTTAAATTCTGGAAAAATGTATCTCACGTATATAAATAGTTCAGGCTAAAACCACAGCATAAACCACGAAATTTATTTTTCAACTCTGTCTTTTTCACCAAAATAATATTCAAATAAGAGCTCCCTATTTCTAATTTTGAGAGCGCCCTAGGCGCTTATTACGTCAAATACGGTATTGTTCCAAAATGGGCATCACATATTTTGCCTATGTTTGAAACTGAAGCTGTGCTTTCTTTGTCAGTATCACTTTGACCGCTAACATGGCTAAGCAACCCCTCCCACTAATATTTTGAGGCTGGTGCCAAGATTTTTTAAATATTAGTAAAAGTCACTACTATTTGAGTGAAGAAGAGCTCTTTGTGCAATTCCTTGTCATTTCCGAAAATTAACTTCTGAAATGTCTATCAAAGATGCTTTCCGATTGTTTTCAATCGGAAATATGAAAAGTGTCTTGGTATCAATATAAAAAACTTCTCATATGATATTCAGTGGGATGTTTGGACCAACAGGTTTCTTTGATTCATACTTGTATATCCAAAGAATAATAATCGAAACATGTCAAGGCAAATGAAGTGGATGGGAATTTGCTCTTGAGCAATTTCATTATGACCAAGCTAGTAAAACTCAACATTTTCAAAGGTATGTTTTGTGTACGCAGTCAAATATAAAAAACTACATCTAGATAAGGAGACCTTTTAACAAAATACTTTCCCCAAACAGTTTTCCTTCCGACTAGTTCCATGATGCTTTTCTTACAGTGTCAAGCATAGAGTACAACCTCAGTTTATTTACAGGGAGCATTCTTGTAAAGAAATACAAGTGACTGTCTTCACCTTGAATAAAGTATATGTTTCCAGTAGACTGACAGAGGGGCACCTGCCAATGTGTAAACCAATTCCAGTGCTTATTGCCATGTCAGTGGAGAGGGAGGCTGTATCCCAGGGAGGCTATGGTGGTGGGCTGGGCAAAAGGTGAAGCCTCCTGTCTGTGCTGACATTGTAGCTACATATTTTATCTGCTGCCTTCCTGGGGTATGGCTTGTTTTTTCCCTTTTTATCTGATCCAGCTCTAGGTGGAGTCGAGATATAACTAGTATTAGTTTTATGAGAATTAAGATCCCAGATGTAAGGCTGTAGTTTGGTAAGTCTTGAACGCATTTGGACAGTGTTAATGTCTTATAGCTCACTTACCAGATAGATTCTGAGATGATTAATATGTAGGATTAAATTCTAAGGAGAAAGTGCATAATTTTGACGTATAAAGAATTGTTCAGAGGCCAATAATACTAACATGGGTATGTTTGCCAATGGTTAGCTCAGCACTAAGTGTTTTTCATTCTTCCACAGAAGAGTACCATCTAGTTCCAACATTTTGTGGGGATTTAAAATTTAGCTGTAACATAGAACTACACTCGCCCGCCCGCCCCTCACTCACTCACTCATTTTCTTCTGTTATCAATTACATGATCAATTGATCCCTCACCCTACCCCAACCCTTCCCCAATCCCTCCACCCCCACTTGAAGCACATGTCGGAGATACACTACCTCTGATCCCCACTCTGTACCCAGCCATCAGGTAGTAATTAGTGCCATTATTCAATCAGTACATCTCCAGTACCCCTAACTATGTAGGTGTTTTGCAGCAAGGGAGACAGATTGTGTTACCATGGTTACATATAGATATGCATAACTCCTGGGAAGGAAGTCCCATGAGCTTTCTTGAGTGGAGGATTGTGGGAAGGAAGATAGTCTTCCTTCGTAAATATCACTGATGATGTCACAATTACTGGAGAAGTACTTGAGTTTCAGTCAGCATGTTTTAGGTGTTACTAATGAGTGATTTTGTCAAGGGTATTTTTTCAGCGTAAATATTTGTGTTGTAAGGCTATTATTCAAGGAAGCTGTCTTGAATTTTCT